AAATACAAATGTTTGGTGTTCATTATTATTATTTTTATTATCTTTTATTAGTTTGTATTCCTTATTTGTAAATCAAAATGTTTTTTCTTCCTATTTTCTCCCTGTATGTTTTTTCCCATAATAACAACTGTATACCTACTTTTGCACCCCCCTGTGTAATACTATATTATGGCTTGTAATATTTTATGAAAACATTTGTATTTCAGTCTGTTTAGGACATTATCATTTCGAATCATATTAAAAGCAATAAAATCAATTTAACTAAGATTTCAAATTAGAAATCTTTTAATAAAAATAAAAAGAGTGAACATTCAATTTTTATATTTTACTCTAATATAGCTACTTATTTGGCTATTATAAGTTTTGGACTTATCACACCATGCTCTTTAGGAAACTTGAATTGAGCTTTATGGGCTGCAATTTACAAAAATTGTAGACCTATAAATTCTCACTGTTGTCTGTCCATCCGTCTTTCCTTAATCTTAGAACAGAATTAAATAGATGAAAGAAAAGACCAGATATGGAAACCATAAGGACAGGAGGCCCCAATTAACAATATAAAAACTTCAGATGCAAACCAGATGTTATTCCAATTCAAAAATTTCCCCCTGTAAGGTGTTAGATAGATGACTAGCCGGACTCTATCGTTAAAGGAGAAGTATGATCTACAGGGGCAAACCACTACAAATTTGAGGTGGAGAGCACATATTTTAAATTAAATACAGTGGAACCTGTATATTTGTAATATTCAATATTTGTCACATTTTGATGACTTTTTTATTTTTGCATATTTGTCAGTATTTTCTGTATTCATCGTCATTCCCAACACTGGAAGTGGCACTACAATCGCATGCCTGTGCCAATCAGCTAGCCATGTTAGCTAAGTGTAGTTAATCGGTCTGCTTTGTGCGGTCGTTGTGTGTGTTGTTGAGTTATTGAAAAATAATCAATGTGAGAAACCAAGTTCCAATCACTCCAAAGTGGCACCCAAATGTCACTATAGTTAACCAAAATACAAATACATTCAATGATAATGTAATTACCTACTTCAGAAAAGTTTTAAAAAGCAAACAAAAACACACAACACTGGACAAGTTCTTTATTAAATCAAGTTCTATTGAATCATCGGCAAAACAGACCCCATGATCATAATTGGAATTGCCTAATATTTTAAAGGAAGAATGAAAGAAGAAGAAAAAGTAAATTTTCCGAAGGGTTTTTGGCTACTATGGATAACTTATGTCTTTTCTGTTTTAATGCAGGAAATTTCTTTCTTCACTATTTTTTTTTTTTTTAATTTTCTGACGTTTTTTGTTTCTCTGTTTGTTTATTTTGTATTTTTGTGGCACTTGCAAAAGACCAAATGGCCACAGTGTCTTTTGAGATTAAAGATTTTAATTGATATATCTTCATAACAATAATACTATATTAATAATAATACTGTTCTTCCCCTTCTACCACTATACTGTATTTATTTAGTACAATAAAGATAAAGTTTTACAAATAACATAATTTTTATTCTTGTACCTTATTTTCAGGATGGGAACAAATTAACTGAATATCAGTTATTTATTATGAGAAAAAATTTTTCTATATTTGTTAGATCCTTAGAAACAGATTAATGATAAATATAGAGGTTCCACTGTACATTAAAAATTACGACAATCTCACAATAAATAATCGCTCATTTCTCTATATTTTTTAATAAATTCCAACTCCAATATGTACATTTTGAGTTTTGTCACCTCTTCAGTTGGAGTTTTAACAGTTACTTTTACTTTTAAGAAATGTAGTGGTAAGTATTACAATTTATGTAAAAAATTAAAAGGAAAAAACCCCCCAAAATGTACATATTGGAGTTAGAATTTATTTAAAAAATATAAAGAAAAAAAAAAGCCAAGTCAAATTTACTGAAAAATGTGGTGTGATAAGTCCAAAACTAATAGCCAAATAAGTAACTATGTAAGAATAAAATATAAAGAAAAAGGGACAAGAAGCTATAATAATAAATATTCATTTTTATGTTATTAACACTCATGGCTTAGAATAAATTAGAAACATAAAATTAAAATATTCTATTAATAATAGTTAAGTAACTTGCATGTAATATCTAATTTTTTTGAATCTCACAAATCTGATATAATTTACTATATGAAATTTTGGATTAGTTTTATCATCACAATTACTAACATAAATATAACTGAAAATACTGTATGTAATTTCATAAATATANTTATGTACAGTACAGTACAGATTAAAACTTTTATCGGTATTATTATTATTTTTTCAAGTTTATAAAATTGGCTCTAATATTTTTACTAGTAGTAGTACTAATTTACTAATTAACAAACTTTTTATAGAAAATTCATTTGAAAACCTAATGCATCTTAAATATTATTATAAATATAATTCTAATAGAAATTGTTATTAGCACAATTGATGAAATATATAAGATGCTAAAGTAAAAGAATATCACAATCTAGCAAAGCCGAGAATCATTAGTACCAGATAGGTATAAAAACGACTTCGATTATATGTACGGAAGCAATTTTAATGGATTACAAATTCTCGTTAAATATCTCTTTCAAATAAGTCAGCTATAATATAAATTTTTTGTAATATATCACATTTAATTTTGCATTACTAAAAAGAAAAACTGTAATATCAACAACCTTCAAAACTGCTTTGCTCATAAGAGACTGTTAAAAAATTATTTAATTTGTAATTTTATGAACTTACATTTATAATGTGCGTGCTTTATATTGAAAACAAATAAAATGCAAGAAAATTTTACAATTCTTAAGAATTTAGAGAATTAAACAAATTCTCTAATCCTTAAGAATTGTAAAATTTGCTTGCATTTTATTCATAATGTACAAAAACAGTAATTCTTTATAAACTTAATTTCCTGATCTTTAAATTATACAGAGTATTCCATCAATAATCACTATCCGAATTATCCAAGAAAATTAATTTATTAAAAAATTAAAATTATACTCTATTCTTAACTTTGCATTTCTATAGAAGTAATTATACCTTAAAAGAGCTATTTCTAATACTGAAATCTATACAGATCTGCCATTTTTAAACTCATAAATATAAAACTTTTGATAAAAATGTGTATTTTTTGAAAATAATAATTTATTGAATTATATTATGTGCCATCCTGAATTATGATTATTTTACTATTTTCCAGATTTATTGTTATCACCAAATGCTAATTTGTTTTCCACTTTTCTCTCATGTCTATAGAAATGAGGTTTTTCTTATTCTTTTTATTTTTACAGAAAATTCCAGGAACTTTTGCATCAACTCAACATTACAGCTAAAAATATATACAAAATCATAGTACTTTAATACAAATAATAGCAGAGAATTACTGAATATAATGATTCTAAGGTTTAAATAGTATTAATCAGTAAACATTTAATAAAAATATTACAACAGCTTACAAAAATTTGGAGCAAAAATCTCATGATTTTTAGAATTCATTTAAATACTAGGAAAACTATTGTTAAGATCTACCAGTACAGATTAAAAAAAATTATATTTTTTATCTAAAGAAATTTAAAGTTAACATATTTAGTAATCACATGATCTTGTATTACATAGACAAATGTAGAAAGAATAGCATAGTAAAGAATATGCATTATATAGGCATTATTTAAAAAAGAACTGATCCTATATTATCATTTAAAGTCATAGAGTAGGATAATTTGGACAATTTCTTAAAAAGCAGGTTATTTCCTATATTTTTACTAAAGAATAGCAAAAACAGAAAAAGTAGAATGAGTATAAGGCCTGTTAGATGTTCACATATCTATGAAAAGAATCAAATGTTCGAAATTTAAGTATTTCTTGCAATATGTATGAGTAACAAGGTAATAAAACAAAGCCTGTTTATGGCATTGCCAAGTATATGACTAGTGGTGTCACCAAACTCCTTACACTACTACAAGCAAGTAAACTTTTTGTTTGATTACTTGATAGAAAATGAGTTAGTTGCTTTTTAATGTTTACAAAATTTTAAAAATCTTTTATATATAAATATTTTAGATGTAAAACAATTATATAAAAAAAATATAGAAATATAGGTGTGTATGAGTAAAATCCATTATTGATGATAATAAAAATAATTACTTATTTAAGATTATAAACGAGAATTAAATAATGCATAATAGAAAATAGATATAGAATAATTATACATTTTATATTGATTTTGGTGATACAGTTAACAATTGCAGATAAATGACTTATCTGAGTATAAAACAACATTATATCTATTTCTATTTCCATATTTACAAATTAGAAAATTTCAATTTCAAAATAACTGAAATAAATGAATAATAAATAATAAACAGAAATTTTTACAAAAAAGAAAATATTAACTCTTGATAATCTAATTCAAATATTGGTAATTTCCATAATGTCACAGGTATATAATTTACTTATGTTTAAATTATTTTCTAATTTAAAGAACTAACTTAATATAAACGTGTAGATTTCAGAGATTAAAGATTGTTTCTTCTCTAAATAACAATATATCCTGAATAAGAATTTTGAGAATGGTTAAGCAAAATTAAGGGATACAGTCAGAGATGTAAATAAACATTTTTTTCTCTCTGAATCAATTACATTAAAATTTTTTAAATATTTCTTTAATTGTAAAAAATGTTTTGATGAAAGTCGGTATTTTTTTAATATAATAATGATTTATTTTATTAAAGGACTTCAATTCTTCTAAATATATTCAAATTAAACATAGAATATTGTATTTAGAAAATACTTTTTTATAATTCAAGTCCAAATTTATGTGTATTTTTGAAAAATTTACATGAGCTGCTTTACTAAAAATATTTAACAAAATTAATTTCTTTTTTAATACAGAAAAATTTTATCTGAATAGTATTTGTTATGTCATCTTTAATTTGTTTTAGATTATGTAGTTTGACACCATCACCTCATGCACTAAAATCCCATGGAATTTTTACGCAACTTACGTCTGTTACATTTCTTTCCATACCACCCCTTTTCACACAAACAACGTCTCTTCTTGCATACACCATGTATGCATTTCTTCTTACAGCTTTCTGCAACCAATATGATGAAGTAATTATTCTGTTATGATGTGTGAGTCTTATTGGTTTTTTTAAAATATAACATTTATATAACTGAAATACTATATTAAACAGAATAAAAAAATTAATGAAGTAGAAACCCATTACCTTTTTTAGTCAAATTCTGTTGATCACTGATTCGTTCACATTGTGATCCAGAAAATCCTTTTCTACATCGACAACGATTAACTCCAACACATCTGCTGTCATTTAGACAAGGTATAAGGCATTTACCTATTTTTTAAAGAATCACACAGAATTGTTAACATATAAATATTAAAAAATACAGATAAATTTATTCATTAGAAACTAAATTAACTGAGATAATAATGGAGAGAATTGTGTCCAGATAATCTGAAAACAATAGAATTTCCATTCACAGTACAGTCTTTTCATTTATTTTATAACATAAAATTTTATTAATAAGACTAAAGAAACAAAAATTCACACAATAACTCCAGCAAAAAAGTTCTTTACTTCTAATATTTCTAATCATGTTTATATTCATATTTTATCCAGTTTGTTATTATAAGCATATTTCTACATAAAAGCAAAACTAATACTGAAACTAAAGAGGAATGAGAATATTATTATTTTTCTACAAAATTAATTCATAATGATTACATTTTCTTATCCAGCATTACTAATTATAATACCAAAAAAAACCTATAAATTTTTGAGTTATTAAAGGTTTGGCAGTTGCTACTATATTAAAATATAAAACCATTATTTTCTTGTACAGATTACTTGCTTGATATATTTCAACATTCAGAAATAAATTTATGAGTTTATGTAAATTGATGCAAAAATACAATAGAGCGTCGATTATCCGAAAGCCAATCATCCGAAACGTCAATCATCCGAAAGAATTCCAGTCGGCAAATTTAAATTTTCGCCAGTGCTGTGGCGCTGCAATCTTTGACTATGTCTTGGGCTACTCAAATATTTTACGTTTTTGATACTAAATTAACTTCTGAAGTATAATTTTTTATTGTTTTTATATTTTTCAATATATTTATTTTGTTTGTACAAAATAAAAAA